GTACCTTGTTACAAAGATACCGCACTTCAATGACGGTTTCACAACAAACGACTGTGGATATGAATTAAAAGTATATTTAGAATGCATATTTAAGCATAAAATGACGCTCTATTGTTTACGACAATTTATTAATTAAAATTTATTCATAATGTCTCAGATAATATGCAGTGCCAACCCACTTATGTTTATTAATATTAATTATTCTCATATTAGATTTCTTTTTGTTTGGTGAATCTTCCCATTCACTTGTAGCAATTTTCATTGTTTTGTATAGTTCCTAACTAAAGCTTGATTTTAATAGAAAACTTTCTAAAAAAATAAATCTTATTTTTTATTAGTCATTTAAAATAAACTATCTAAAAAATACTAATATGTGACCAAAAATAAAAAAGATGCAAAATTTTCCTTCTTTCCAAGGTTTTATTAATCGTATTAACAATCAAACAATGTAGTTTTCCTATTAACCCTCATAGAATTTATTAGTCATAGTCAGATATTTTTTTTTCAAAAATAGGCAAAAACGTCTCTACCTGTGAATGAGAATTCGCATTTTAATCTCACTCCACTTTCTAGAGATGCACTATTAATATCTGAAACGTAAAAATCCAAGTAGTTTTTTGTGACTCTGTTTTTTTACATTTTTGAAAACCTGTACACGCTTGGCCCCACCAGTAAAAAAGCATACATCAGTTAAGTTAACAAGTCATGCAACAATGTAAAGATCAAATTTGTTATAACTCTTTTACTTAAGTTTTTTTAAAGGTCTAGTCCCTCTTTACAGTATATTCAGCTGTATCTATAACATCGTTTGTCTGATACGTATGTCCAATCATTCAATATACCCAATACGACATGTTGTATTTAACTTTTATATAAGATAAACGGAAAGTTCGTGAAGAACAAACTTTCTTGTCGAAAGTAACAGACGAAAGTATTCAAATAGACGACGCCACGTGTATGTTTGTTCTCGTCGTGAAAACAAAAGCGTAATTCAACAGTAACAAGTCCGGAAGAACTGAAAACTCCGTTTGATAGAACCTATAAACAAGTTTTAATGGTGTGTCGTTAAAATTAAAGCTTGCCGTTCCACTACAAACACGCTGGCGCTGTCTCAATAAGATCACGCAGATTTCGGGTTTTGGAAGCCAGTGGGTTACGTGCTTTATAATTGCTTGATGGCGGTGTATTATATACATTACAAAAGTATATTACAGGGTGGATCGGCGTTGGAAACATAGGAAATCCCATGCACATTTTGAACTATCCAAATATTATTGGCCCACATATTGATTTTACAGCGAAGTCAGTTTACAGTTTCAGAACAGTTTCAGTTAACATTCCAGAAAAAACTGCAACTATTTTTAAATTAGAATAGAACAGGTTATAATACAAAATCAGACAAATGGCAACATACCTTAAGTTGTCAACCTATGATTTTGTGAATGTCAAAATTGTATATACTCTACATTAGAGATTTTGCCTAATACGAACAAGTTTTACACATAGATAAAGGAAATAAATTTAGATTGGAATGCACGGCTTCCCGCTAAAACGTATAATTGTTTTGGTTCGCATACGTTGTACGGGATCTGGCGCTGCTATAGCGGTTACTAAGAACAACCGCAAACAAGAACAGAAAGAATTTTCTCTTGTCAAAGTTCTTCAAGATACAATCTTCAAGACAAAATCTTTCAAAATTTAAACCGCCCGCACTGAAAAAATACCGAAAAGTGTTTAAAGCGTCCATTTTAAAAGTAATTATTTTTCTATCTTGTAATTTAAATATTATTTACCTACTCAAAACCCCTGATAATTGTAAAAATGTGGCACTAAAAAAACTTAAGCTGTGTGAACTGCAAACTGCAAAAATCATCGTGGCATAACATCAGTTTCCAATGTTCCATAGGTATTTCATACTTGTCCTTATATAAAATAAAGTTTCTTATATGCAACACACTGTGTTTTATCTATAAAATTAAAAGAAAATAATAATAGATTTGAATAAATAATATATTTGGCGACATAATTCCGGAAAAAGCCGAACCGCTCCGAAATTATCAAAAGCTTTGGGTCGCGACCGTTACAAGAATAGTGCCAAATAATAGTTACGTTGTCCTTATGTGGCACTTTCCAATCTAAACTTGTTTTAAATTACAATATGCATTTCGGGGACACTAACCGTAGGTACTATAAAGTAGTAGTGTAGACTGTAGACAGTACAAACAAATTACATTTAACAATGATAAAATCATAGGTTGACAACTTTAGGAGCCAATATTTGGACAGTTCAAAATTTGCATGGGATTTCCTATGTTTCCAACGTCGCGTCAATGCAACTCCCGGTATATGAACCATGGTTTAGTTTATAAATATCTGTTAGTAGCATACAGCATACTTGGGCATTTTTTATAATTATTTAATTATTTCTTTAATTAAATTAATACATTTGGTGTCATAATTTGTTTTTTTTAAGGTATACATTTGACATTTGTTAATGTATTTAATTGAATTTGATAACGGTTTCACTCCAAGTATTACATATAACACAAAATTTAAGAGGACTGTGTTTCTAAACCGTAAACAATGCAGTTCTTTACAGATTCTGTGAGAAAAAGATTAGTAATTCAGTCTGTCTCTTGTCTTGTTCCCACGATTGGTGTCCCTCAGAAGCATGGCAAGATAATTGATTAAGAAATTCCTAGAAAAGTGTTTGAGCGGTAAGTCACCAATATATTCACAGATCAGAGTTGGAAGATAATAGAATTATCACGGTAGACTGTGGGAATTATTCCTTGTAACTTGTAACCATACAATACAGGGTGTTATATTACGTGGTCATAGAGCTACTACGGATTTTTGGAATCAAATATGCGTTATAATATGCCTGTATAAAGATATATCTCTTTCAAAATATTAACCTTGTGAGATTATAGGAGTTAAACAGATGTTATATACCACATATTAAGTAACACTGGCAACAATGCTGCCGTATCGGTTACACATTATCGCTCAACGAAAATGTGATGTATTTATTGTTTCAATTTGTAGTATATAAACGATTATTGTTGTTGATATTTATTCAGGTCATAAATTTACGAACTCAATCACAAAAGAATTGATTGTCTACTTTGATATAATGACCGAACATTTTTAAGAATCATTCACCATCTGTTTTTTTACGGTCATGAATATGAGACTGTATATAAAGTTTATATATTTTGTATTTTTAGACTATTTTTAGGATTTTGCATTATCAAAGATAAAGTTTGGTGTAAAAGCAAGTAAATATCTATTAAAAAAGTGCAAGACTGGCAAGGGTTTTGCCAAGACCCAGACTGAGATAAGAGGGACTTGATCTTGGTCTTGAATTTACTCATCACTAATAAATGTTCTTTTCATAAAAAACCGTACGATAGATCTCTAAATGTACTATTGCTACTGATGAAAGAATATATGTTTTTACCACAGGCTCATTATTTACATTTAAAGATGACCCAGTCATCACGTGACAAATGTGGAGCATTCTTTGCTCCATTGATACAAATTTAATCTAACCTTAATAAAAATATAATATTACAGTTGAGGGTTGGAACCTTTGGTGTTACACAGCAAAATAAAATTACACTAAATCACCACAATACACCAAAACACTTTTACTTTTACACTGGCGCGTTTCGCTAACCATGTTAGCATCGAATAAACTGTTTATATTATATATAAAACTTATTATTAGTTTATAATCATCTGCTGATGATGCTAACATGGTTAGCGAAACGCGCGTCCAGTGTAAAAGTAAAAGTGTTTTGGTGTATTGTGGTGATTTAGTGTAATTTTATTAAAAATATAATAGCTCAAGAGCTAGCACCGTCGGGAAAACGAAAATTTTAAGAAAGCTGGGCTGGCACTCTGTAACTAAATAAAGGCGAACGGCCACTGCGAGCGTAACTAAACTAAGCTAAGAATATGAAAACAAACGGTAATTAAATGGGAACTCCACTGAGAACGATTTCCGCTCAGTAGTCAGCTAAGTTTTCGTATTGTATCTCTGCTATCATAGAACTAATCGCTGCGAAAAATTCGCTGGAACCTGTCACGAACTAAAACGAGCGAAACTAAACTACGATTCGAATCTTCGTTCATATATTTTCGTTTTGTTTCGCTCAAGTAGCCGCTGACGCATTAAAAAGTATTCCCAGTGGAGTTCCCATTTAATTGTGTGTTGTTGTTGTTTTCATATTCTTAGCTTAGTTTAGTTACGCTCGCAGTGGCCGGTCGCCTTAACGATCGGTAGCGATAAAGAATACTGACCTTGGCCGTACAAACTAAACGGCAAGCCGCAGTATTCTTCATCGCTACCTATCGCTATTTCATTACAGAGTTTCACCCCTGGTTCTTTAATACTTTTGCTAAGTTCTCCTGACCAAAGTGCGGCTGACGGTATACTACTGCGGTTCACTAATGCGCATCTGTACAGGGTATCCCATTTTTGTATGTTTAATGGGATTTCTCCTTTATGAGTTGAGATACAATAATGCGATTTTCTGCTACTATGAAACTAAATATGCTACACATAGGTTTGTCCCAGCCTCCTTAGTTCCTAAAATACATGGCAAGCATTTACCGGCAGCCAGACGGTCCGCACTCTGTTCAGGAGAGCATAGCAAACGATATATTAAAGAACCAGCTTTCTTAAAATTCTCCCTCGAAACCGTTGCTAGCTCTCACACCAATCACAAGCAAATCGTACATCCGATGAACGGAGGCATGAAAATGCAATAAATTTAAAAACTGCGTAATTTTCTAACCAATCAAAGTCTTTAAATTCAACCAATCAAATTAATATCGTATCATCGTATCGTCGGACAACGGATCCGTCGGACAACAGGTTTTAAACTTGATTTTCATGCGTCTTTCTGATAGCATTTTATTGTCTAAGAAATCGCCAAATCATTATTTTATGGCCTTTAGAAAACCGTAACTGAAAATAAAACAACACTTACCGCTCATGTTCAACTCGGGCGCCACCAGCTCGTTGAGGTCGGGCTCCTCCCCGTACCAGAAGATCCACAGCTCCTTGGCGCTGGCCAGGCTGAGAGGGGGTGGCTGCGCGGGAGGCGGCGGCGCATCGAAGGCGTCCGAGTGGTGACGGTAGTGGCCGACGCCGACCGAGGACGAGACGCGGCGCCACACGCACAGGATGTCGGAGGCGAGGCAGCGCGCGTAGCTGCGCAGTACCGGATCGTCCAGGGGCTCGCCGGGCGGCACGTGGTGATGGCCGCCCCCACCGGGTCCGTGGCTACCGCCGCCCGGTTCCGACCACGTCAGTTTACGCCATTTGATGCCGGATAGTTCGGTCTGGAAAAGAAAGTCGGCATATTAGATATCAAAGATAAAAATTATGATGTTCTATATATCTGTACGGTCACAGTTTTAAAACGCAAATATTTGTGGCAACTTTAAATAATACGAATTCACTGTTTACTTAAGATACCTTGCATTAAGTGTATGTTTGTTCCTATTAAGGCGCTTCCTCAATTTATAAGGTGCGTCCATATTTGAAATGGTATTTAGTCGCAAAATGTATGACGATGAGGAGTTCGGTATAAATTTTCTTCATACAGTTTCTTGCTTCTGCAGCCGTAATAATAATAGTTTGATAATAGGGATCGACGATTTGGGTACGTCCGAGAATTAGTAGAGAAAAAGCTCGATATAGAGGAAATGATGTTGAAGGATTTAATTTTGGAAGACGTGGACGAGTTAAATCTCGAATACAGGTTTGGAGGTAGTTTCAGGCTTTTTTTTCCGAATGACGAGTAGTGATTTTGAGACTCTTCTTAATTTGACTAACCCTCCAAGCTGCAAGAGTGACACGAAATTCCCACAATGTCCTTTGTATAATGACTGGGAATCAACCGAGGCACCTTCCCATTTTCAAATGCTACTAGATAAGTGTTATCATTCATTTGATGAGTTTTTTTAATGTAATTGATGAAATATTTCTATTATTCTATTTGTATTTTATTGGTCCGTAAGTTTCTGATTTTAATACCTATATTCTAGTGTAAGAAAAGTCCTCTTTGTATTACGTTGAATTTTTTTGTTGCGTAAAAATAATGTTAATGTAGTTAACGATCATAAGAGTTAAATTGTTCATCAAAACTCTGCAAAATCTAGTTAATCTTAGAGAAATATCTCATCACTCAGTTATCACGTATCAACTAAATCAAAGATTGAAATCTCTAAGACCTCCATCCTGAGATGTGCCCTAAAAATTCACAAAATCCATGAAAATAGAGTGATTCTTAAAGAAAAATTCTTCATAAAAATAAATTTCTCAGTGTCTATATTTTTCAGTACAGATACTTTTATACTTTATACTTACTTAGATGACAATTCTTCACATCACACTAAATCGTATATCAGCTAACCAATCACAATAACTTGTCTTAACCTTGTCGTACCAAGACGTGTCTACAATACCTAGTCATCCAAAATAAATCAATATTTGGGAAAAGGAATCAATGGAGAAATACTGGAGAATCACGTAACCCAAAAACAAGCTAAATGAAATCTATAGGCACAACAATCTCACCAGCTTTTCGATCTGAAGCGAAATTACTTAATACATCTAAAAGATCGAGTAAAATACCATACCTTGTAACGTTTTTAGTTCGTTACATGTATTTTTTATATATGATTTATATGATGTCTGGCATATCGTCATTGGATTCCATATCGTTCAGGCCTGATAATTTATTTGGCACGCTTGGCGTAATTTTTACGTTCCCTAGTCGCCAACCCTGTTATCGTTTCGCTGTCAACATCGCTCCAAGGTTAGGTCGCTCTCCGCGCTTAACCTCACTTTTTTGTTCACCCGGCTTTTAGAAATGGCAATCTTGCTGCAAAATCTGAATCAGCTGCCATTTCGAAGCTACAGGTAAAGATGAGATAATATCTTTATTAGATTCGTTATTATTATTGAATATTTTTAGGGTAGAGTTTTGGATTGACCCACCTTAACTCGTATTTGTATTTTGCTGACACGTTGGTGTACTTTTGCTGTTGTCCTCCAGAATGTTAAATGGAAGAAAGGACATTTCTTTTGTTTATTATTGAGCCATCGGAAGTGTTTCGAGGTAGGTTTATTTTGTTTATTACACTTGTTTGGTTTTAAACAAGAGTTTCGTATTTTTAGGGTCTTATGAACGTACATTATCTTATGGACGTACGTTATCTTATGGACGGACTGTGTCCAAGGTACGGGTATTATCCAAGGTCCTAGTAGTATCCAAGGTACGGGTAGTGTTCCCTTGTACCATTATCCTATGTACGGATGTCCTGTGGATGAGTGTCCCCAGTAGGATTGATTTTTCTTACATATAAAGTGCCCCAGCGTGGATGTAGCTTGAGCCCCATGCTGCTTCGTTCCCATCTATAAGCTAGTTAGTTACGGCTGTATCAATTCATGGTGTCCTCATTCTGGCCCCTTTTGTTGTTTTGGCCAACAGGATCGCCGACAGACAGTACAGAGATGCGAGCCCACCTCACGCTGTTACTGTTTGAAGCAAGATTACATAAAGAACAGCTAAGTGTAGATTTAAGTTCTAGTTTTACATTTAACATTTAAAACATTTTCAGTCTTAAACAGTAACGTACATCTTAAGTAATATCGTACAGACTATGTTTAGTGGTTAGATTGTTAAGAACATTCATGTCGATTTAATATTTAAAATATGATTTAGATCTTAGGTTTCATTACATTACGTCTTGTAATGGTATTACTTTCATAGATATTTAGTACAACTCTTAACACCATTTTTTTACATATAACCACTATATATTTATTAGAATTCTACAATGTCATGTACCAGCAAAGAACATCATGAAATATAGTCATTAGTTTTAAGTAATATACAACTGTGTTTTCTTTCTCTGTACATGCCTGGCGCCCAATATTTATAATTTCGAGTTATTATTGTTAATTAGTTCTTTCCAGTGAAATACCTTATCCATGACTGCTCTACCAACGAAAAGCTGCCGTTCGCAGTGGTAATGTTTATAAAAAACGCTACAACCTACTGAACTCCTACACTTAGATGTCACAAAAATGGGCCAATATGAGAAAGGAAATAGTGGAACCGAGAGTAGAACACTTTCCAGGTACGTGGTACATAATCCTTCAAAAAGCTTGCGCATATTTAACGCGTAATCACTAGAACATCAAGTTTATTAAAAACATAAAGAACTGGTTCATCAATAGGTCCGTCTTTCACGAAAGATCTAGAGAAATTGAAATGACGAGATGTCACTAGCTTAAACAATAATTATATATTAAACAATGAATTATGTAAATCTATAATGTATATAATTATTTACTTTTAAATGATAAAAGTATATAACAAGCTAATAGTAGAAAAAAATAATTAATAAAAATAAATTAATATATGAAATGGAACAAGACAATGGCGATTGGCGATATTTTTTTAAATGTTTAACCGCTTATACTTTTAAACTAGATTTGATCAAGTACTCTCTGAATATATGCATAATTTTAAACAAATACATTACATTTATTATTAAATAGCATATAAAAAGGAAATAACCTTGTAAAATTTAAATGGACTCGCTAAACAGCATTTTATCTTTTAACACTTTGTATGTTTAAATGTAACATTTTTAAACAATCATGAATAATTATCGTTATAGAATAAATATAGTAAAAAAGAAAAACCACAAACGTATACTTCCTACTTTAATCATAAATATTAAAATAAAAGTTATGTGGATTAATTAATTTCTTTCTTTCTTGGAAACAAAACGCCAGACATCTCTCGTACGTATTCGGAGCGGTAATACGTCTGGCAACGTCGCGTGGTGCCGATTCGGTAACGCATTTTCTTAACGATTCACGTTTATTAGTCTCGCTCGTAAAAGAGTTTTTATCGGGCCGCTTTTACAGTTGCCTTTTAAGCGTATTGATACAGTTTTTTAACGGCTTATTTAGCGCGAATTAAATCGGAAAATATTAAATCTTTCGGCCTTCCTATTTCATTTTTACTCTCAATTTACATCATAAAACACAAACAAAGATGATCAACATTTATATTGGCAACTGTCGTAAAACGCAAAACTATACTCGTAGGTCATGAGATTTTAATTATCTCATATATTTACAATATTAAGTCAAAATATTTGTCGATTTTTTAAAGCAGTTAATTTCTTGTTGTTCGTTCATGTCAAAAGCTGTAGAGTCAAATGGATGTGTTCAAAGAATCCCCCAAAAAAGGTTGTTTATTTCCTGGTCCTAAACCTGAGAACGCCATTCCATTATTATTTACTTTTTTTAATTGCAACCAGTGCTAAAAAATGGTTTTTATTCAACGCTTGGGTTTACAATTAAATTTCCTACTCAATACCCAACTGTGACCCAACTGTTAGCACATTTAACGTAAGATTAGATAGATAGATATTCATTTATTTGTTCCGATGTTGGAGCTAAAGCATCTAAAGAGCCCGCAGGCATGGAACATTGTGAAAATAGCAAAAAACAAAACTTAAGACTTAATATAAAACACAAATAAATACACTTAAATAAGGAAAACACTAGAATAACACACGACAACAAAAAAATATAAAATTAAGAAGTAAAGCTGAAGTAACTTCCCCAAGATATCTAAAGCCGCGTATAAATATGCCGAGGCAAGTACGAGACAAACCCGAAACGAGTATGAAACGAGGCTATAGCAAATTCTTTCCAAAAGGCGTACTAATATGCCGAGACGAGGACGAGACGAGTCAACCTCAAGCGGAATTCGTCATATTATAGCCTCGAGCCGAGCGATTTAGCCTCGAGTTGTATTGAATATAAAGTGTCGATACTTTAAAATATTGATAAATATATTAAAGTATTATTCGATACCATTCAATATTTTAAAAAATTAATTAATAAATTTAAGTATAATGTGTTTTTTAATTGGATTAGGATCGAAAAAAATCAACAGAAGTCCCTTGTTTTAAATTTGTCGACGTTTCGCAAAATTTATTTGCATCTTCAGGACACTACAAAGTTAAGAGAGCAAAATACCAAAACAAACAACTTAAAACACATATCAGTGGAATTCCACACATACACAATTGATAAAACTACCCTAATGTTAACAATTAAATAAAATATATGTATATGTTATAAACTTAAGATCGCTTGTAAATAAAAATAATAAGGGATAGGGCCAGAATATAATCAGGATATTTTCTTATTCACATTTAACGAAAAAAATCGACGATGGTGGCACTGTTTTATACAAAAAACTACCCGGATCAGAACTAAATCAGTCATCAAACGATCTCAAATT